AAATTGTCTTATTTTTCGCATTCCAAAAGATGTAATTTTAGTAGAATACCTAATAGCTGCATCGTAGTGAACTGGAAATTAGACTATGCCAAGTGTAGCTGGTACTATTGTAGGGCGAGTTACAACTTACATGAGTTTACTATTATATAATAGCTGCGTGTCGTCTACTCTTTTCTTCTTCCCCACAACCCCTGCAAGTCAAGAACTATACCATTACACGCCTGAAAGTTATGAATAATGATTTATGAAGAACGAAAAGAAAACGTGTTGGTCATTCTGTGATAAAAGACTATTTTTTTACTCAACGAATAATTAAAATCAAAATTTAATAAAAAATTTTAAATTCCAAACATTTACTGTTGCGGTCTTGATGCAATATAATTTTTTTTAATGTTTACTTAATGTAGGCATTTATTTTTACATGAAAGTTTTCATTAAATGTATAGGTAATTGGAAATTAGCAAGGTTAATTACCCAATCTACAAAATTATTTTTATTCGGAAATAATTCCGAGCATTTTTTTTTTTTATATAAAATTTAACGTAGTTACTATTAAATTTGATTACAGAAATGGTTAGGAATATAACTTTAATATGAACCTTTTGATATTTAATTAGATGAATAATGCCTTGATGTTGGAACTCTTAGCGTTTAAATTGTCCATGTATACTATCAAATTAACAATAAGTATAATATTAAGAAGCTGAGTGCATTGTTGATCAGGATGTGTTTTGATATGATTAAAATAGCTAAATCGAATGAAATTTAATTGCGAAGGGTGTATACTGTATACTTTATAATGTACAGCCATAAAGGTAGATCATGTAATTTAGACGTATTATAAAAACTCATACATAATTTATGTTTCCGGAGATGATTTTAAGAAACTTAAACTTTTCAGCTAGTTTAATCGCAAATACGTTATTAAAAATATTTTGTTCGTATTTTATTTGTTACTTAAGCAATTAGTTTAATAAACCTTATAATGTATATATATTATATATATAATGTATGGGAAGTTTTTATTATTGTTTTAATAATTTGAAATAATGACATATTGAATGTTAAATTACAGTAAATTTCAAATTACAGCAAGTGTATACTAATATACTATACGAGTTTAGTGTCTAAACATATTATCACAATTTTCATTAATTATACTTATATACTTATAATATATAATATGCAATTATGTATTTATACTTTATAGAGCTGTAATATTTTAACTATCAAGAGCTTATGAAAAAAATTATTAATTACCTTATACGGTATAAGTTAACTGCATARCATAGTCTTTAAAGAGATTAAACATAATAATATTGTATAAGATTCATTATTACTATATTTTATGATTTTTCTATATGAGTACATAAAATATAAAACGAAATTACATATTAACAATATTAACATACACAATATACTTCATATTATTATTATACTACAATGTAAATGTCATATGAACTATCTGATATATTTATATGCATTTATGACGCTTAAATACTTAATTATATTTAATCGTATTATGAACAACAACGGGAACTCAAATTTTCAAGTAAAAAACAAAAAAACACMGTGTGAAAATTGTAGCAATAATCGTGTTATATAAATTGTACAAATGAACAATAAAAACACTCATTTTAGTATCAAATAATAGTAAGTATATGTAATACGTATAGTATATAGTATATACCATTGTGAACCATGATAATTTTATTGTTGTATTGTTTTGTGGTGTGAAGGTCAGTTTCTGCGGGGCTTGGTCTCAAAAGTACGCTAATCGTTATTTCAATGCCCATATCATATTTACAAAACTGTGGCACGTTGTCTCGTCAGTGTGTAAGTTATGTGTTTATACTATAGTAATAGTAACTTTATACATTGTATATATATATGTAAACAATATATATTTATTAAATCTATTAACCAAAAACGAAATAGTACATTGGTGTGTAGAAATACAATTATTATGTTATGCTGCTATATCACCGTGTGTCGACATCTATATTATAGTTTTAACTTTTATTAGTGACTAACATGAGMATTATACAACAATATTTTTTATTATATTTAGGACCAAAAGTTTGAGTATATTATTTTGGTCAACAAAAATAGTTTAATTGTGATTATAATTTCTTATAGYTTCAAAATCATTAATGTTAAAAACTAAACACCGTTTTAAAATGAATGTATCGTACCTTTAGTATATTATGCACATTATACAAGACTTAATAAAATAGATTGAGAGAAAAACTTTCACGAAGAAATCTTGTGACAGATTCTGTTATAATGAACTAAAATAACATAGTCCATAAAGTATTATAAAAAATAAGGCTTTACATATTATATGCTACATTGTTAAAAATGTATTAGAGGGTGAAACGGACAAATACCAAAGAAAGTCTATTGAACCTATAGACTATAACACAATACATTAATATACCCACGTATACATAAAAAGATAAAATTGCAAGGAACATATAGTGTTACAGTGAAGTAGAATGAAAAAAACTTTACTGACGTCCATCGATTGAGTGTCACCGCACCAGAGAGACAGAAGGGACATAATTTATTTAGTGGCATGTCCCATCCGGATCCGGTGCTCCGGAGGTATTCTGTTCATATCAGTTACCGAATATTTTATGTTATAAAGAGATCTGAGAGATATTCAAAAAGTTGAACTTGCAGATCGGCTGTAGGTATATCGATCTATTTTATACTAATTTAAAATTAAATTTACTGAAGTTATTTGTTCTATAAAAACAATTCAAACTGTGGATTACTGTGGAAATGCAAATGCTATGACTTATATTGTTTAATTTATGTGAGCAATCTGCATAATACAGACCATATATTTCTGTGTCCAAATTAAAATTAAAATACCTGAGTGGTGTGCAACAATTGGTTTAATATTTATATGTCAAAAACCGCGTTCAAAATTATTAATTCATTTACTAAGCATAAATGAGCTTCAGAGCTTGCGTCAGAAATACATGATAAACACGGTGTAGTAATTGGGTATCGGTTAAAGTACTTAAATATAACAATAACATTTATTCAGTAACAATAATAATATTGTATCATCGGTGAATGAGACTCACCTGCAAATGGTCTAGGAACGATTCCAGTCCCCTGTCGGTGACGCTGGACGACTGTAAGCACAGCGCCAATATATTTTTGTTGGGAAACGGGTACGTGTTGACAAACTCGACCGTGTCCTGGTCCTGTGCGCCGTAAATGGTGATAGCCGTCATCTCTCTGGCCACGAACGATTTGAAAACGGCTGCCTTGTCCGCGTAGTTGTATGATCTGAGCTGTTTGCAGCGGATCACCGGTCGCACGTTGTACCAAAACTTTGGCGATCTGTACAGCACGTCACGCCACCGGACGCACACGCGAGTCAGCGGCACGCGCTCGGTGGCCGTGAAGTATGTAAAGAAACTGTTGAGGAACTGCTCGTCACGCATCAGCTCCGGCCACGTGACCGGCCGCTTGATCCGGTATGTGGCCACGCGGTTACGAACAGGCGTTCGACCGCGGAACCGTGGGTATTGGATGCCACTGGAACCGGAGCCTCCAGAAATGAGGCCACCTCCGCCACCACCGGTACTGCCGCCGCACAACACGTTAGTGACCCGTTCCATGACGCTAGTACCGGTTCGCGGGGCCCGGGACGGCGAACCGGTCGCGCCGGCCGCGTTTCCACCGCCGCTGCCACCGGAAGTCGACGATGATGGTTTGTTGGCCGCTCGCAGTGTCAATCCGTTGATGCGCTTCGACAGTTCGGCGCTGGCGCGTTCCACGACGCCTTGGCTGGTCATGATGGTWATGATGTCACCCAGTCACGACCGTGTGCACACTACCGCTGCAGAGATAACTCGTCACCGTCACTGCCACTGCAGCCGTCGACGTGGTGGTGATGGTGCGTCGGACGCTCCGTCAACACTGAAAACGGCGCGGCGGGGAACTTTCGCTCGCTCGCTCCGCTGTCGTTGTCCGCGCGGCGGCGTGCGCTCCGTGCTCGGTAACCGACGACGCCGCCGCCGCCGCCACCCCTCCGAACGCCAACCCCACTTCCCACCGATAACCCACCCGGATCGCACGCTACACGGTCCCGCGGATTACCGCGCTCTTCCGCCGTCTCATCGGTCAGCCTGGACCGATCAATAATTTACGACGCGCGCGAATATCAGCCACGCGCCAACAAATGACTGTGCGTCGACTGCTGCAGAAATAAACACGGACGACAATATATATGTATATATATCGATATATTATATGGCAGGGCTCAGGAAGAGGATGAAGTAAATAATGCACCTATATAATATTGTATGTAATAATTCGCGAGTATAACTGCGAAAATTAATTGATTTGCGGAGTTGCGGCGTATTACCTATACACATGCTTGGCGTAGGTATAGGTATTAACTGCGGCACATCCATATATTGYCGGACTTACTACAGTGGTAGGTGAGGTGGTTATATTATAATATACCGTATATACCCCATCTGATAAATAACCACTCGTCATTTTATTCCTTTATTACGTGGTCAAATTACCTAAATAGCAATATTCGATTTGTCGGTAAAACAATTAGTTTTTATAATTAACCGTCAGTAAACTTTTAGCCAACACCGTCCATTTATTACATATTATATAATATGGTTCTTCAAGACTAGACCCGCACACTTTTTTATGGTTGATGTATTCAAAACCCAAAAATTGTATGCTTATTTAATAATATAAAATTCATTATAAGGTATTTATAATTTATATGCCTATACTTATTTATATATAAAAGCAATTACTGTCAGTTATGTACTCAACACAATAATGATTACATACTTGAAAATTCAATGTTTTATTTATGCATGATCTATTTATTATTTTAACAATTTCATCTTATTTAAGTAAACACTTAAACATAAGTAGTTTTTATGTTGCATATGTTTGCTTAGTCAAATTCGATTTATTATACGGCATGCATTGATGAACACTGATATTTTTAATTGGAGGGTTTATAATAATAAATTATTAGAAGGTACCTGTGACAAAATATTTTTTTAAATTGTACTAACTTTTTATACATCTATAGATAAAAGGTAACAAAAATATCAAAAATGATAGCTGTGATTTAACAGTTTAACACTCCCACCATCTTCGTGTGTACAATCACTACTCACATGAGTTCTATATTTTGTATATGGTTTAAATAGTAATAACATCACAAGGCACAACCAGAATATTAAAAAACAAAAGCGAAACATTTCACATTTCCACACTAGCTGCGTTTAGTTGTTGTAGTTGTTGACTTATCTTTAGTTCTAATTCGRCGGGAATAGATGAACTGGAATGAACGGAAACTCCATCGTGTGTATATTGTTTTGTGGATGATATGAATATGCATTACACATTGAAAATAAAATAATACACGCGTGTCAAACAAAAATACGACGTGTTTGATTTCCATAATTTTTATGTTCAGTATAGATATCCAGGTAGGTATGACTATAGGTACTATACATTTATACGCCAATAATATATTATATCCATTCAGTACAAAAATATAATTTAAACTTATAACAACAAACTGCTTCTGTAACTTGTAAGAAGTGTTAGAGATTACAGTGACTATACATAACGAAATATACGTTAATGTAACGGAAAAATTTATTTTAAATTATATAGTTTTAAATAAGTGCATAATATGTACGTATTATAATAACTAATACGTATATATTTAAATTATATATATAAATATGTATACGTGTTTTTGATCTAAACAGTTACACGTCATCGTCGATGAAGTTAACAAGCAAACGAATAGAATAAAAGTCGTGTTTTTACTTTTTATTGCATTGTAGACTTTTTACAGTAATTTGGTRATGATGACAACGATGAGGATAACTATTTTAGTCCTGATTAATGTTTTTAAATATGGKCATTAACTGGAAAATAGGGGGAATAAGAAATATAAAAAAAAATACCATATAACCTATGATGTTTGCTGTAAATTGTTATAAAAAGCTACATCATTGAAAAAAAGTTAAAAATGTAATTGTTTGTTTGAAACAAATACTTGAAATACAAATGAAATACTACATGAAACTTAAATCAAAATGGCGAATAACATATCAATCAATAATAGTTAATACCTACATAATATACATATTATATATTTAAAAAAAGCTATTTACAGTCAAAAAGCTAAGTAAAATTTAATATATGGAAATTTCAAATTTGTCTTGTATCAGTTTCATTTATCATAAACAGGTAAGTAGGTACCTATTAATTATAATATTAAATCACTAAAAGTTAAGTAGATAATAGACTTATATAATAGGTACTATAAAAAAATTCCTTAATTAAAATGATTACCTATTATGATTAATAATTATTATTTTACTTATTAATAATTTCTGATTTACCTAATTTTATGGAAAGTGAAGGTACAGCAACTACATTTCATAACGTTGGTCAAACAAAATTTCGCAAAGCTGAAATCATAAATATCTATTATATAGCAATATAGCATGACATATTCTCAATAGTTATTGTATAGTGTATACTTATAAGTTATATGTCATATGTCCAATAGATACTATAGACCAGTTTTATTCGAGGGTCACGTAAAATAACAAAAGGTTTTAGCAGACCAAAAGTGTATAAACACGTGTTATTTTTATTTTTTACGCGGGCCATACAGTTTAGACATTCATGCTATTAAGTACAGGTATAATATAATACGGTAATTATACACCCCTTCACGATATTTTACAAAATATTGATAACGATGTGATTTAAATTATGATTTTTCAATCATATTAAGATACATATTTATCTGGATATTAGGTTAACACTGTTAATATATGTAAAATATGATTGGATTGGATATATCAAATTAACATTATTATTAACATTATTCACTTTAACTTAAGAAATTACAGAGTAAAACGTATTATTGTAAATTTGTAAACATAAAATTCTCCATGTTGTACGTTTGTAAGACGAAGAAAACATATACCTATGTGGCATCGAGAATAAATATATTGAAGGGAAAAGAGATGAGTAGATTGAATGACGCGAGTGACATGAAAATAGCTGATGTGGCTGTAATCATGACGTGTAAGCTGGTATGCAGGCAGCCCCCCTTATTTATTTAATAGAATTAAAACTTCTAAATAATATAATTTACATTTATTTATTTCCTACCTATAGATTACCTTTTAATAAGAAAACTTTTAATTTTCAAAAGGTCGAAAGTATTATRATTGTTGGCGYCCCGATAAATTCTGACAAGAATGATTGATTTTTCTGTATAAAATATGTGTTGTTTATTATGCTTATACATTTTTCTTTACTTCGACAAAACTTTGACATTTCTCACATAAGATAAGCAATTCTCTATCCTGGGATCTATTTAAATACTTATTATTGAAAAATATAGTATATTAATTTAATAAATAAACAATTGTTAGTAATTACATAGGTGAAGTGGATTATAGTATTTTAGTATATACATATACAAATCGAAAATTCCTAGTCCTAATGTACTCTAAAATATAATTACCTCACAATTTCTTAGTATTATTTATTAATGTTTATTTAATAGAAACGTAAACAATATTCATTAATAATCATAATCTTTTTAAATATAATATGAAATTACGAAATCATGAAATTTAAATAAAAACATTGTAAAATGATTACTAATTTTCTTTAAATATTTTAACCTTTAAAGAGTTAACCTCTCCTCTAAGACTCTACCGAATAACCCTCCCCGTCGACTAAAACGAAATTGGCCTTGCGATTTACTTCGCTAAATAATAATAAATAAAAAAACCCGTTTGAAGTAGTGTCAATGGACGCACCCTTCAGTCAAGCCTCCAAACCTAGCAAAAAAATCTCATATTTACTTATTGTTTTATTATATTACAGATTGTAAATTTATTTATATTATAACATTAAAAAAAAAAAAACCTTTAAAGAGCTGCACAGTGTATAGATAAGCACAATGTTCTATATATGTTATTCAGTAATATTCAGAATAGTGTTCAAAAGTTTTGAAAATATTGATTATGTTCACCGTAAAAATTGTAACATCTATTAGTAGTTCATAACAAATTCACAAATAAGTAAAAATGAATGTTAGAAAATTTTTCTTGAAGGACTAAAGTAATTTTACTCGTCAACATAGGTTATAAAGAGAAAACTTGTCGGAAACTATTTGTGGTTAATGGGCTAATGGCTTATGTATAATTGTATATTTTATTGAGGATTTGAAGTTAAGGGTTTAAAATTCTGTGCTACCATGGATGTCGAATTTGAATAAATTCGTAATTTTTACTGTATAAAAACTATTTGAGTGTATAAAAAAATATTGTCAATTTCATACCCTTGTGAACTTGGCAGCGCAATGTTAGTAGAAATTGATCCAACATCCAACCAATCCAACAAATTTGTTGGTGGATTATTGAACTTTGTTGAACAACTTTCAAAATTTGTTGGACATTATTTTAACTGGTATAAACATTTCTAGTTGCGCTGCCAAGCTTATATACGTATCTAAATCATTGATCAACGGAAGACATAGTTATACCTACAAAGATATTTTAATTTAAAAATATTATTTTCTTTAACAATAAGAGACATTTTGGTATTAAGATAAACAAATAGTACACTTAGTACGGAACTACCGAATACATATACGTATAGTACATAAGTATTTCGAATTATGATTTTAGATATAAAAGATAGAGAGACCATAGACCTTATACTCATAGACGGAACAAGCTAGTAGTTCCCGCGGTAAACGGTGGCTGCACTTCACATGTTGTTCCATACTTCTGCGCATGTGCGTAGGACAAACCAGGTTGCGCATAAAACGCTTATTATTTATATTATCGTATCGTATTAACSATAGACCCATTAACAGGTTAATAGGTCTATGGTATTGACAGGGCTTGGGACTTGGGACTA